CTCTTTGAGATTTATTTACTGGCAGCTGACAAGGGGCAAATTCAGCTGGAATTGTGTAGTCAAGGCCCTGTCAAGCCTTCAGAGGCACCCTTATGTCGAATCACCTTCCTGACTGGCATGTCGCTGAAAAGCCCTCGGCGCTGGTCCTTAACAGCTCCCGACAGCACAAAGGACACTCCAGACAGATGCCTACATGGCATCCTGCAGCATTTTAAAAGAGAATTAGTGGTTTTAATTATGGTCGTCGTATGAAAGGAAACCATGCAAGCTCGGCAGGAGACCTTTGATCAAACCCTTTTGCTAGCACAATGCCGCGGAACTGTGACTATTCCTAGCAAGGGGCCTTTTCTCGCTGAATGACTCACCAGTGATCTTTGAATGCAGACAAGTTCCTCGCCCTCCCTCTTCATTAGCGAGCATTTCTATACAGGCCCTATATAGTGCGTGGAGTCTCGGAGCTATACAATGGGGGGGAAAAAAGAATCCCTACAGATTCTGGCCTCTACTTAGGAAGTGCTGAAGGACTCTGAGTGACTTTATTCATTAAAACAGGTTGCTATTAATTAACTGTCATAATAAAATAAAGAACTATTATTTGCATTTCTTAGTGCGCTCCCTTTAGTAATATGTATAAAAGATGCTTGTAACAAAAATGAATTTATAAGGGAGAAAAACCCCTCAGAAGTCTTTTTTTTTTCCTCCCCCTCCCCTTTTATTTTATTTTTTTTTTTAAAGGTCTAGGCAGCAGGAGCCTGACTAATTATTGGGACCAGTTTTACAAGAGAACAAATAGAGGTAAAACACAAATATGAAAGTAATTAGGAAAATGCAAAATCCTGTTTACTTGGCAACCGATTCATGCAACTGAGACTAACGAAGAGCAAATCAGCTTTGCTTGTTTGATAAACTTAAGGGTGCCACCTAAGAGGAGCTGATAAAAATTAAACTTCTGCCAGCATCCCTCAGCACCGCCTTTTAGCGAACAGGCTCAGAAACATCCACGCAACTGCTTCGTCTACAAGCACCAGCAAATCTCATTTGAACAGATTCAGGGGGAGGAATTTTTCTGACTTCCATGGCTGTTAAATCTTCTCCCCTTCGCGATCGGCCATCAGGGATATCTTCAAGCTGAACAGCCACGGACACTCTTGTCACACGTGCACACCAGTCGCACGGACACGGCGCACGTGAACGGCACGGCTGCAACCGGTTTTTGCTTTTCTCCCTAAAAAAAAATCACGTTTCCACCACTCTTCACTCCTGGGAAATCTTTTGCTGGTGGGAAAGGTCTCCTTGTAGTTGTGCTGGTGGGAAAGTTCTCCTTGTAGTTGACACTGCTGCTTATTACAATATATGAAGATACGTTACTCGCCGCGGGCTGCGGGCTGGGATACCTTTGTCCAGCCCCTCTTTTCTCCCGAGTAGATAGTGGAATCCACAAAAGCTTCCAATTATTTCAAGACTATGCAGCTAAGGAGAGGCATCTAATCAAGATAAAGAAAACCCTCGGCTCAGTATATTTGCTTGAATGGATTTTCAATAATGCAGGTAACAAAAGCATTGAAAAATTGGATTCCTAATGCTTTTCTGCTAGGCTGAAGGACTGATTTTGAGCAGGGAGAAGAAAGCCAGCCCTGAGAAAGCTGCACGGAGGAATGTATGATATTCCCCCGCTCTGTACAAACACTTCTGCGGGGATTGAGAAAAAGGAAGAGATTTAAGTGAGGCACCGTCGACCTGAAATGTAGTCAATTACAACACAAAGAGTTAAAATGACACCCCTGAACCCTTCCTCTTCCTTCTCTCCCCTCTCCTTTGTGGCTTTGCAACCCAGAAGCCATAGTTTAATTTCTTTTTATTGCTCATTTCTCATCTGCTGTTTGTACAGAAATCGTTTATACAAGGAATAGGGGAAATTGCCATGGAAATCGCACCATGAAAATAAATCAGAGCGAGAGGCAGAAAAATAAAGGATGGGGTTTTTTTTGCAGCCGGAGTTAAGCGATTCCTAGATGGTGGTTTGATTTTTATACAGGCAGCATCCAGTGGAAGTCAACCTGAGAAAATTCAGCACTTGGAGAGAACAACAACAAAGTAGTCCATACTTTTAAAGGGATCTCTTAGGATTAGTAGCTGCACGAACCTAAAGCTGCACCTACGTGCGTGCACAGCAGAGATCATGCATGGTACCCAAACTAGACTGACAGAGCATCCACACGCAGCACCCCTCGCTCCTGCACGCATCCTGCTCCGGATGGGAACCTGCCAGAGGTGCTGCTTGACAATGTGATCTTTACAGAAGTACTTCTTTCTTCTCTGAAAATTTTACTAGTTCGAATGAATTCCTGGACTGGCAGCAATTTCTCTCCTATAAAACACCAGGCTGAGATCTCACAGAACCAGAGAGTGAAGTATGAAAATTTAGATGAACACAACTTTCCAGTAACAATACCAGAGTTTTGGGTCTGTTTTAAGCATTTGAAGGTCACATCAATCAACAGTATTTTGAAAAACATGTTATTTTATGTCTTTTCTTTTTTTTTGAAAACAAGTAGCTGAGCTCTTGTTAACTGAGTCACTTGGATTTTGGGGTCAATTGAAAAGCAAGATGGATTCACACTCTGTTCTTTTGGTTAAAGCCCCCGATATCCCTAAAATTGCAGTTCTGGCATCCCCTGCACCTGCGAGGACGTGGCAGAGTAGAAGAACGTTGTGGGCCCACACGGAAAGAGGTGCCACGGCGCCGGTACCAAGAGCCACGGGGAGAGCGGAGTCCCAGGGGAGCTGCTCTCGTGTCCTCAGGCAGGACCTCAGCACCACGGTCCCTCTACCCCAGGCGGACGCGGCGCAGGAGATGCCACGCTGCTGCCTAGTCACGGTGCTCTGCAAGGGAAAAAACAAGTTGCTTGCTGCATCTTGGAAAACTAGTAGGAATAAAGTCTATCCCAGCATAAAATCCCAGCGTAATGAAAATAATTGTCCCCGCAATGCAAAGTGTGTGTGGGGGTCCTTGCCCACCATCCCACGACAGGACGTTGTGTCTGCAGCACCCCGGGGCACAGACGCAGCAAAGGAACAGCGAACAATCATGCTCCAGCGAAGGGCACCGTCCCATGTGCTTGTCCTGATGGAAACCACCCAACCACCCTGCCCTGGGACTACAGAAACACACAGACACACCACAGCTAAAGAAAAATGGCTCTAGAAAACATCTTGGCTCAGTAACAGAAGAAATATTTAAAGGCTAAATATATTTTTTGCATCTATAAAGGATGCTGCCTTCATAAAAAAGAAAAAAGATCTTCACAGTACAACAGATTCACAGGTTTCTTTTAAAAGAAAACTCTCATTTTTGAAACCCAGTATTTTATTTAGCAATGAGCTTTTTTCCCCATACACAAAACAATACAAACAGTTCATTTGGCAACAGCAATCAAAGACCAAACAACAGTACGTTCCTGCAGAGGCAATCACGCTTGATTTCTTCTCTGCTGCCACTTCTGTTGCCTTTCAAAACCATTCTCATGTTGGCAAGGACTAATTCAGATTTTAAGTCCTGACTTCAAAATTTCTGCACTTCAGCAGGCGGGTGGAGGACCGGGCACTACCCAGCTCGCCGCCTCAGATCTTCTTTCATTTTCCTCAGCCCCTGCAGCTCTTTCTTCAGGTGCTTCACAGCCTGCAGAATATCCTGCCGCTGGGGATCGTCCTCCGCTTTCTCGGTGTACAGAAGGAAATGTTTCACAGTTTCGGAGAGCAACACTTCGGGATCCACATCCACCCGATGGAGACGCAACATCCTCTCGCAGGCGATGGCGTAGTTTTTGTGCCAGTTCACCGGGGGATTTGGATGAGAGTTGACAATTTCTTTGTATGACTGTTAAAGGGACGAAAAAAAAAAAGAGGGGGACAAATTAATTGAACGAAGGGGACCAACAGCTCTTAACAGTGCTTCAAAACTGTCTGTAAAAGAACAGATGCTATTTAGATGTCTGAGTCCAGAGTCGGAGCATTTCTGTAACTCACTCCGTGTTTGCCATGCGATGTGCAATAGCGTGACTCAGATAGCCAAGGAGGGCTGAAACGTGTCCCTTCCTACGGCAGCTGTTTGTTTAGAAACGTTACAGGCGATGGTGATCACCCCACCGCACGTTATGCGCTTCCCCGAGAGAGGTGGTACACCAGGCTGGGGGGAAAAAAGAGATTTAACTGCTGCGCCTGGAAAGACATTGGCTCAGTATTTCAGGAGATCCCGACGTCTTCCACAGGACATAAGCAGCCCGTTGACTTGAGTGGGAATATGCATAAGCTCAAAGTTCACCTGCCCAAGAACTTTGCAGAACAGCAAAAATCACAGCGAAATGGGCAGGAGTTGAAAGGAAACTGTTTGTTGACTCTTTGCTGGGGTATGAAACGCTCCTCCTCTCTGCTGACACACATTGATCGTTTTGTGCATCTGTTGGCATCTTGGGCAGTCAAGTATTTCCAGAGATACCTACACCAGCTTATGCGTGTTATTCTTCGGTGTGAAATGCAGCAGAATTAATTTGCAGCAATAAGACTGTCGGATTTTACACTTGCTGGCTCAGATGCATGTCTGTGTAATGACAGAGAGGACAAGTGCATAGAGGGGACTTGAGGACAAGCAAGCTCTTGGCATGGGTTTGGAGCGCAGCACAGACAACATAATTATAGCAAAAGCAGGGTATCGACTGGTTAGCTTTTGGCATCCTCCCTGACCGAGGGGGCAAGTAGGAATGGGTAAAATCCCTGAACAAATCTCTGAATCTGTGGTTTGGATGAATGAGGGAGAATGCATATTATAGGACTGCCAACCTATATGGAAACACTATACTTCCATGGAGTCGAGACATTAAAAAAGAAAAAAAAAAGAAGAAATAAAAAAAAAGGATGAAGACTGCAGGGATCATTCATAACCAAAATGTCGGACTTACGCTGTATGCAAATCTGTAAAGTTGTGATTTAATTTCTGCAGTCACACTGGCAGTTTCTGCAAGGTCAAATATAAAGAAAGCTGTTTTCATCCTAGGAAAACAAGAAAAACTTCCATATAACAACTGCTTAACGTAACCAGCTCGCATCACGTGGCTACACACATCTTCACCACGTCCATACAGCTCTTTCATTGTATGGGACAGTACACTAGCTTCTCCATTTAATTGTCAGCAACACAAATTTCTCTCCACAATATATTTTCTCACCCTATGCCCAAACTACTCTCCGCTCCTTCGAGATACTCTGAGCAGAACCTTTTGGTGAACAAACCCATCGCTTTCCTGAAGGATTTGCCGGAAGCCATGCACCCTTCATCTCATTCTGCCAACCTTTTCCTTCCACATTTAGCTCCAACGAGGCCACGCACCACCAAGCTGCCCACTTGGGTGTGTATTTCCACACCGGTGAGTTGGCATCGCCCACCGGCTGTTGGAAGGGAGCAAAGGAGCATCACCTGGCTTGCCACATCTCCTCGTTGGCGACAGCTTCCCAGGAAGAGGGCTTGAAACTAAATGGGAACAAGAACAAAATTCAGCCATCAGATCCTGTGTTTCGCCCACCGTGCAATCAGCCCTTCTAACCCAAGCAGATACAGACCTCCCAGGCAGGAGAAAACCCATCATGAAGCCTATGGCTCTGACGGCAAGGAATTCAGCTGATCTTCAGTCATTCATAAAACTTCATTCCCCTCTCTCCATAGAAGGAGCCTCTGGTGTTTCACAGCATCCTGGCTATGCTCAAAAAGTGAGAGGTGCTTTTTACCATCCCTCACAGTACAGTCTATGACATTTAAAGCTTTGGATGTCCCAAGTCCTCAATGTTTTTTGGCTCCTGATCAAGTTTTAAGATTAGAATTGGACCTGATATCTGACTAGGAACATCCTCTCTGTTTTTAATACTAATAAAAATACCACATGCATATTTAATATATATTCCAAACCACAAAATACTATGATTACGGCTCATGTTTAGTTTCTCTAACACCGCAACGGACGTGGTTATGCTGCTGGCAGAGGAACGATGAGCAGGAAGGAGCAGAGTCACCTCTGCCTCGTACCTGCCGTAGTCTTCAGTCCAGTTATAGAGATTTCTTGTAAGATGAATCCACTCCTCTGGGTCAAAGACAACGTTGGAAGGAACCAACTTTTCGCACGTACCCCATGGCCAGAGCGAATAGCTCCTTCTCCAGGTCGAGTCCCCTTCATGAAGGCCTATGCAGACAAACACTTCCTTACTGCCAAAAAAAAAAACCCAGAGAGAGCAACCGTGAGGCCACGCCAGAGACCCGGGGCCACCCCACCCCGGTGCAGCAGACAGGTCTTAAGCAGCACGTTTTCTGCAGCACGGATACCTGTCCGGATCATTTCACATCAGAAAGGGCACATCCTCGGGTCGGTCTGCAAAACAGCCCTCCCGCTGCGAGCGAATACTCCAGCTGGCACATCTTGTGTGACCAGCACAGGAGACACATCCTCTGCCCTACGTCGGACCTCACAAACGTGCCAGAAGCTGTCGGAGAAGCCCATTTCTCCCCGACGGCACCTGGCAATGCTCTTCTGCCCACCCACACTCGCAAGGCTCACCCTGGCTAGTCTAAATGCAGATGCTATTCTTATTCATGTGAGTATCTAATCCTTCCTCCACTCTTACTAAGCTATTTTTATATGATGATTATTCCTGGAATACATTCATTCTATGCTAATCAGTTGGCCACAATGTTCACGAAGGAGAAGCAGCAGCAATTTGCTCTCCAACCACCATCATTTTGAGTACACGGGAATGTTACTTTTTTGCGGTGAATTGTATCAACAACAACAACAAAATAATCAGGAAATACTCTCGGTTGATCACCTTCTTATTTTTCCTTCCTAAAAACCAAAGCAACCTCAAAACAACGAGCAACACTATATCTGGATGGAGTTACTTCTGCATAGATATTCGCTTTAATTGCAAAAATAATCTCACTACCGGAGAGGAAGTCGGTGGAGAAAATTGGTCCTTTGGATGCAGTACCAAGCTGTTCCATAAACAATTTCAAGAAAAAAAGGTTGAAGATTTTAGGAAAGCCGTTACATATGAAAGAAATGCTTACTGCTTATTTACTTGGAGGAAATGATGGAGATTAAAAGCAAGTGTCCCATCGGGTAATACTCCTTCCACAGGATTCCACCGGTTCCCAGGAAAATAAACGCCAGGTAAATGCTTTGCCAGCTTGGGTAAATACCATTCATAAGTCATCATCTATCACCAAAAATATAAGCAAAATTAAAACAAGAAACAAAGTTTTCATCCATTTTACATCTAGAAGCTGCAGAAAACGGTTTCTGCAGGAGGAATGGCTCAGTAAGGTCACCCCCCATTTCAGCAATTGCCTGGGACCACACCATCAGACCAGGTCACCAGTGGATTCTGATCAGCGGCACACGGTCCTCCCTGTTGAGGGGGTGAAGGAAATGCTGGGAAGAGACACAACAAGGTTTTGGGTTGGTTAAATATGAAGCATTGGGTTTTGGGTTTCTCAACAAGTCACAAACCCTGGCACAAACAAGTGCAAGGACTGATGTGGCACTGGAAGTGGTGGTGTACCCGTCTGTAAGGGGGATTTTTCTTCCATTTCTCAGGAAAAAAGGAAAGTGCAAACAGCACCCAGGGACACACAGCGCCTCCGTTTTAATGTAAAAAAACTAGAGGCAGAAATCTGCAAAACCACCTTTGGGGGACCAAGATAACAGAGGGGGTGCAGGGAATGAGCTGTATTTCGGGGCAATTGCAGAAAACAGCAGGGACAAAGCTTCCTCAGCAAGGCAAATATCAGTCCTGTGCCACACCTGGATATCTGCCACGATGAAGAACTTGGGCTTCTCCTTCTTTCTACCCACTATCGCCTCCCTGTCACCTTTTTGGGCTTGAATGGGGCTTGCACATCACACTCCATCCCAGAGCTACCCACAATCCTTAAAAAAAAAAAAAAAAAAATCACCCATTTTTTTCTGCATCACGAGTTTTATTTGAACAAAGAGACCCCCTTGAGGAGAGAAAGGAACAACTGAACATTTGCCTCCTCTTTTTAAATCTGCCTGTTGCCTCTTTTAATATTACTTTCTGAACCTACCTCCTGGTCCACCAAGGTGATATCTGGCCTCATCCCTTCGCAATAATGAAGGTAGCGAAGAGCATTCCCGGGTAAGTCTCCTCTTAGCAAGATCACTGCACCCATCGGCATAGAGGACAGCAGATTCCTTGCAAACTTATCGACAACGTAGTTGTTGCTCTGATCACAAACACTTAAGAGAACAGATAAAAACCAGTATCTTAAAAACAGGTATTTGCATGGCTTTGCGTATCTTCAGAACAATTTTATGCAATAGGTGAAGTCCTTTGCCTTGGTCAGATCTTGCGGAAAATCATCATCTCCGTATACGGAGAAACCAAGATACAGAAATGAAGCATTTAGACTACAGTCCCCCAGAAATCAGCACCAGAGACATGAGCCACTCGAGTTTTGCCAAAATACACACTCACTGCACGCCTTCACCTTAATTCTGATTTTTTTCTTGGGCTAAACCTAGAGACTAACTAGTTGGAGCTGGAAGTGCCAGCACAAGGATGGTTCTATAAAGTATTTGAAATCCTCCCCACCCTTTTAATGCTTTTAATTAAAGATTAAAAAGCCAAGTATTTGTACCGTCATGCAGAAGTAGCTTTACATTACCCGAGATTAGATTCTTTTTGTTACACAATTGTGTGTGCACACACTCCAGGTACAGACTCAAGAAGAGGACACTCCATGGCATTGCTCAGGACATGGGAAAAGATGTATGCAAAGGAAGGATTCCCAAATATGAAGTTCTGCGTGTTCTATACTCCACCAGTTGGTCAACCTCTACCTGAGCATCCCTAGTACTATGCTGATTCCTACCCAAGCCACTGGAGAGTCTTCAGCATGGTTATGGGATAAGGAAGACCTACATTACAGATCTAAGTCTTCAAAATGGGAAAAAATTAAGAAAAAATGCCAGGGCACAAGGTTTGCAGAAGCAAAGCGAGGGAAGAAAAAGGTGACTGTTCAGGTCAAATGAATTCTGCAAACCTTCTTAGGAAATAATGCAGATTTATGAGTTTCTTTCATTAGAAGTTGACGTATCTACAGAGTTTTCTTCCTTCAACCTACA